GGAAGTAGGGGGGAAGGAAGAATCAACACTTTAAATAATTAAGAATTATTCTAGCACAGAGCAATTCTTCTGTTTCCTTAACAAATTTCAGGTTTAAATAGAAACTGATTTCCTTAACTGATTTCTTCACAAGTGCCCAAGATGAGATTTCTTTAATGCCTCTGAAACATTTAGCTGTGGCCACACTCAGTAATTATGTTTTTTTGCACCAATTCTCTGTCTGATGAGCACAGATCTGATCCATGCAGCATAAATCCTATATTTCCAATATTGCATGATGATAAAGACACTTAGCAGCTGTAATACCTTACATAGATATTGTTTTGATTGTTCTAGGTTCAAATCCAGAATCAAAAGTTAAATCAGCAGTCTATGTCAATAAGTCATTATCACATACAGAAATAAAAAGTGCATTTATACACATATAGTCAATATAACGGTGCATCCCAGTTTTCCAGCTCCCTATCAAAAAAGTTAACTACTTAAAGAACACAACAGACCAAGGAACATTGTATTGTTCAAGGAATGTCATTAACTTTGAGAATTAGCTTCACAGACCAATAGATGAAGCATTAAATAAGCAAATTAAGGTATTCTGATCTCTATAATTTCTTTTTCTTCTCCCCATCCCCCAGCAAGAGACCAACTAATCCTTTAGTTAGATACAAATAGAAGGTGTAAAAATTTTATGATAAAACTCACATTGGAAAGCACAAATCATGGTCAACTTCAAAATGCCACCTGCCACTTCATATAGCAACAGCAGTGGAAACAAGCCTGTCAAAGTTTTACAATCCATTTTAGGAAAACAATAGTAGAATAACTGGATAATCGGAATTTCTGGGATTGATGAATCACCCCCACCTCCTTTTTTTTTTTTTTTAGAGTGCAGATTTTTTTCCTCAATTAAAAAAGTTAAAGAGTCTGCAAGAAAGGTTATAGAAAATAATGCATACTGTGCAGCACTTAGAATCTTTCTTCAAGTTGTTTTATGACCAAGTGTGGTTCATAATTTGTGCTCTGACCTGTTCAGGGGCTTTTTTTGTTTGTTTGGTTTTGGTTTTTTAAAATACACAATGTATATGCAATGGAATAACATTTATCCTTTACAGGGAATGTCAACAACACTTCTTTTAGAAAAGCAATCTTTTATGCAGCCATAAGAAACTATTAGCAGTTATTTTATAGAAAAAGGAAATAGTTGTGTTACTTGAAAACTCATTTCTCAACCAGGATTTGGAGGCTGTAGGAGAATTCAAGCAGTTTTTCCTTTTCATTCATCTTAAACTTCTTCAAACGTAAGACCAATCCTATTAGCAGTGCTTGAGGATCCGATCCATCCCTGCTTTCAACTACTGTGGTACCATGCTTTTACCAACACCAGGTGACAACTCCTTAATGCTTTCAATCTGTGGTACTAATTGGCACCAAAACAATGTTAATGCATCAGCAGCTATCTAACAGCAAGCACCTTAACACTACGTCATTAATTTCTATACACATTACTATATACACAACTTGAACTTAAAAAGGAAACAAAATTAGACCATAAAGTACCAAATGGAAGTTGTTTCCGAGGCACTGCACAACAGAAACAGTCAGCTTGCTGTCAAATCTTGCCATGTTTAGATGCAAGTACAGAATATGCTTTGGAGAAAGCATTTGTTTATCAACACATAGGTTTCTAAACAGTATTAATTATTTGTGCTATCAGATAAAGAAAGCCGTTAGCACTTGAACTTATATACAGTAAGTAAAAAAAAAAAATACCATGATAAATATACCTCTATACCCCCAAGGCTCAGTAGAGATGGTAAAAAACAAGCAAACAAAACCCACCAAAAAACCAAAAACCCAACACACAACCCAAAACACCAAGCATCCTCTTCCTTGGTCTATGCCTATTCACTTAAGTACAAGAAGGTAAAAGAGATATTTGAGGAAAATGGATGGGGATGACACCACCAAGAACCTAGCAGCACGGTTTCATTTCTTACATAACATATAAAATAAAATTCTTCTCTACTCATTTCTAGTGGACACCAGAGACATGGACTCATCCTAAGTGAAAAAGTATCCTTTTTAGAGAGCTTTGCCAATGGGACAGGCAGAGGCCTCTCAGGAAGGCAGATACTGAGGAACAATATCAGCAACAAGAGCTACGAAGTACTCCGCAGAGAGTTTGTTTTGAACTCTAAGTAATTGATGACTATGAATTAGTCACCTTTACTGAAGGTAATGTTAGATAGGAGTAGATTCATGGTTATTTCTAGTAAGTCAGTTATCTATTAAGCATGTAGCATAATACAAAAAGAGTCAGCTAAAGCATTCCCTGGATTTTTTTTTTTTTTTGGACACTTCATGCAGTGCAGTATTTGATCAAACCAGTGTTTAATATGATGGCAGGAGTCTTGATCTCTTTGCCACTAGATCAGTTGAGGTTACATCTACTGGATTACTTCAGGGAAAAGGCTGATAGGAAATAGACTACTCTGTATACAGGTAGAAGAAGAAGAAAGCATAAAAAAATAAAAAATAGGAGTAAGTTCAGAGTAAGGGTTCAGTCCTATTCATTGATCCATTTAATAAACTTATAAACCAACCCCTACTACTTGTTTCACATGTTACTGATCTTTGCTTTTGCTTGTTCCTTCTTCCCATAATTCCTTTTCCACTAAAAAAAGCACAGTACTTCCTTAAAGTCTCTCGATAAAAAGCTGCAGCTGAATGTGTTAACATAGGACTATCAAAGAAGCAAAAGCTGTCTCAGAGCACCACAGCTGGGTTACCCATTAATGTACCCTGTTTCTCCAGTTTTAAGATATTGTACAACGATAGGAGAGAGAACACTTTTTGGAAAAGAAAGCTACTCTACTAGCTTCCTCTTTTCGTAAGTCAACAGCACTTCGTGATGCATTTGTACACCAAGATTTTGCTTTCCACTTCCCTTCCACCCTGAGTTTTTCCATCACTGTGTTCTGAAGAAGGTAGCCTATTTCTCATCCCAATATCCACAAAAAGGTTTCAATAATACTATTCACCTGCTGTCTTAGATTACACCTGGATCAAGACCTGACAGAAAAAGCTTGTTGGGTTAAAGGAAGGAAGTGTATCGATTGAAAATAATGACTGAAATTCAATGGGAATAATGGGTATGACAACAACAGCTACAATTCCCTGTATGTACTGATACTGTCTAGCGCGTATGTTAAAAGCCACTAAAATGTAGTTGTATGTAATGACAGGTTGAACCATCTGGTACTGTCAAACATTTCTGATTAAAAAGTTAGTTTTTAACAGATTTCAGATTTGTGCTAGAAGTCAGTCACAAGAAGTCACATTACTCAAGTTAAAATACATAGAAGACCACATTAGCATATTTCTTGTACTTACATAACATCTTTTTTAAAAAAAAAGTTATCCATCTCACTAATCACACTAACTTCTAAATCCAGAAAATTATTATTTGATAATCTTGAGAACCAGACTTGACCTAATTTTCACATAACACATATGGAAATAACAATATTTTTGAAATATGTCTTCTACAATTGTTTCCAGAGGAGACCTAAATAAAGGCTTAAGGCATGACCTCATTCTGTAGTAAATGACTTACAGATTTTAATACATGTAGGAAAAGGACTGCCTCTACTATCTTCAGAAATAACTCCTAAAAAGTTACAACATTTAATCCTGAAGAAAAATTTACACTATTTTCTGTGAAAATTATTCTGTAATTATATTAAGGTGCAAAGTTACGAAGAGCTCATTAAAAGAGAGACATACTGTGCCTTAAACCATAATATTGATCACTTGCCACTGATCCCCGTGTTCCAAGAGGCCAAGTTTTAAAACATCAAATACTTATAAAGGCTGTGAGCAAGAGTCAACACCAAAATACATCGCTGCTAAAAATATTCGAGCAATATATATATATATATGCTCAAAATATGAAGATTCCAGAGACATCCTTTTATGATAATAATTTCAAGGTCTCGAAGAAAAAATGCTCCATGCAAAATCACTGAGCTGCAGACAACTGTTTTGTAACCACAGCCTAAAACTTCAGCTAAGTAACTGAGAAGTTTTAAGTCAGAGTTCTACCATGATTCTAAATTTTGGAGCTAAGAAGAAAACTATTACCTGTAGTTAAACTATTGCAGATTTTTTAAAATTTCTTTTACACGCTACATAAAACACAAGTATAGACTTCCTTAATTTCAACATGCTCCATTGCAGGGCGGGGCAGGGGGCAGAAAAAGGAAAAAATCAGTCTTACAGTCAGAGATTGCAATTGCTGTCCTGAGACTCAAGTTAAACAGTGCTGATGGGATACTTCTACAATACATATGACAAGAATCATCAAACTTTTGACTGACACTTGAATGCACAAGACTACAAGTGCTTTAACTGTATGTACACTACAAAACAAAACCATGTAGACATGTAAAGATGTGTCCATAGAAACACAGTGGACACAGATTCACATGGGAGAAATGTATTTGTTATAAAAAAATAAAGAGAGAGTTCCAGTTACAGTATATTACTAAAATTCATGCAACAGCATCTTAATGTATGAAGAAGTTATAACTGAGAAGTTAATTACTGGATTATTGGAAAAAACATGTCATTAATAGATTATTTTTCCTTTTTTGTTGTCTCATCCCTGTTTTGAGACTTACCAGTAAGTATTCAACATTTGAGATGTAGGAATAATAAATAACAGAAAACCCTCAGTTTACTTGACTGAAAACTAAGTCTGCTTCATCAAAGTTGCAACTTCTTTGCTGTACTCACATGCCTTTCAACTCTGTTTTAAGTTACAATTTGCTCCATACAAAAATGACTTGCAATTGTGAAATGTTGCCCTGAATTGATGTTAGAGCAAAGCATTAGGATGGCACAAATTAAAACAGTCATGATCATAGTAAACAGACTAATAAAGCCCATTGCTTTGTTTTTCTTATTGGAAAGTATTTAACACTATTTTAACTATATTCCTATGAAAGTATTAAAAAAAAAAAATCTTTGACACTGTTCTTCATTACCTCCCACTCTTTAGCAGCATCTTCAGTACTAGATTCTTCACTAGTTTCAGGCTCTTCCTTCTTTTTTACCAATATAAATCCAGGTTCCCGAAAAGATTCCCCAGTATCTTCTGCATATATCTCTGGACTCCACTGGATAAAGAAGACATACAAGTGATCTGTCCTAGAGAAGTCAAGTAATGATACAGAAAAGAAAAATAAGGTAAGTTTGTGATCTTTTGGGTCATGTCTAATAATTATGAAGTATTAAAGCTTAAAATGAAAATACTTACTATTTCATGTTTTACTAGATATTACAGACACATTTGAAAAAAGCTAGTTAGTATTTTTTTTCTTTTTAATTATATGAAGCTGACACTGGAGGAAAAACAGGAAACAAGTTGGCAATTGACTAGTTGTGTTTTCATATACAAGTACACTCCTTCAACCACTTCTGTCCTGTTGGAAACCTCTGCTTACAATTGAAATAACTTCCCAAATAAAACACTAAGATTTTTTTTATTTTTATTTAGAGAGTTACATAAAACCAAACAAAATTGGAATTTAAAAACGTCTGCATGTCTGTTTTCCCCACCCCTGAAGAAGAGCTGAACACTCCCAAGACATGTAACCAAAATTATACAGACTGTGAGAATTACTACAGATATGAGGAAATAAGGCTGAAAGTGTGCATATATATAGCTAGATCATAAACTACAGACTATTCTAACTGCAGTACTGCAGTTAAGTACCAAGATTCTTAAGTACCAAGTTACCTCCTTTTAAGTTATCTGCCACAAATGGCATGGTTCTCCAGTTTGGAAGAACAAAATGCCCAAATTCCCAGAAGAAAGTTATTTACAATCCTATAGATGCCAGTCTATACTGTTTAAGCATTTCCTATAGGTGCACAGATGGAGCATTTAGGAAAAGGACATGCAATGAATCCACTAGTATCTCTTCATGGTGGAAGAGACTGCTTCAGAGCTAGAGCTTTTCGGCTCTGGTTACCAAGAGTTTGAATATTCCTTAGGTCTCCTCAGAGATATTCACTACAGTGAATCTGCATACTGGATTATTTGAAGAAGAACAGTATTTGAACTTTCCCCCCCACCCCCTTACTAAATCCTTGCAAAACTGAATACTGGAAGAACACTGAGAGATACAGAGCAGCAAAGTCTCTCAAAACTGCAGCTATAATTTTCATTTGCCTCTATGTCTAAAAGGATGCAGTACACAGGTATGTAATAATACTCTTTGAACAGGGTCAGTTATTCAAAGTCACCCTTGTTAAATTAAGGTTCTGGATAACATTGATGAAAGGAAAAAAAAAAAAGACAAGTCTTTGACAGTAAGAGAGTATAAAACATTTCAGATGCATAAGGCTAGGTAAGTTCTTTGACAAAGTCAGAACAAGAAGCTGGAGATTCCTCATGCGCTGAACAAGGTATCAATTTCAAAAAGTAGGAAAATTAGAAAAAACAAAACCAACCTAATTTTAACTTTTTAAGAACTTGAAATTGTGTATAATTACAGCAGTTAAAAAAGTAAATACAACTTGATGTTTAAGAAACTCTAAGACTCTCCTTCCCAGACTGGCTCATTTGAGACTAAGAACGCTGAAATAATGCAGGTTTGTCAGATACCTACTTTTTTCTCTTTCTTACCACTAAACTGGGTTGACACTAAATATTTTGACCTATGCAGGGTAGCACTTAGCAAGGTTAACACTGAATTAAGAAAACAAACACTCCACTACCACTACATGTGACTTTTTGTGTACAAAAACATAGGACACATATTGGATGGATAAAGAACAGATTCCCCATGCAGTTAGAGAAACCCTTCATAGGTGGAGTAATTTCCAAGGAGATCAGATACAGACTGTAAACTAAGAACTATTTCTTCTGAAATAGGTGACAAATTCTGCTTTATGCTGAAGATAAGTACTTGCTCTGCTACATTAGAAAATGAACCAAAGAGACAGTAATCATTTTAATTAGCTGACCTAGACATCATTGCCATATGTGAAACATTTATCTGTTTTCAAATTAAGTATCATATGATTAGAACAAGAAAATTTGAGTTGACTGTAACCACAAAAGATCAACTGGCCCAGGCAGGATTAGCTATACCAGAATCAGCGTGACAGACATTTGTCTCAAGAAATTGCATAATCTCCAACACTTAGGGGTAGCAGGGGTGATGTTTAAAAGCAGGTTAGTGATGCACTAGCATAAACTCGATTCTCTCAGTTGGAAAACTCAAATATTTTGATGTAATTTCAGTCCATTACAAATCTCAATTCACAGTGGACATGGGGAAAAAAAGACTACTGCCTTTCTTGTTGCAGCCAACTTTTAAGTATGAAATTATTTTATGTTTGTAATCAACCTTTTCTCCTTTAGATTAAAGAACCCCACTTACTTCTAATTTTCTTTATATGTTACACTTTCTAGGCATTAATTAGTCTTGCTGCTTTCCTCTGGACTCTCTCCAATTGATCCATATCTGTCCTCAACTGCAGTGCCCCAACTGGACATTCTATGCCATTCAGCTCAAAAGAAAAGATGGAAAAGTGACTTGATCATTGTATGTAGGTATTTATACAAGATGATAGCTGATAGGTTTTTTTTGGTTTTTGTTTCTTCCCCCCCGCCCCTCTTCTGACAAGGATATAATAATCTCCAAATACCCCCAAAAATGACATTCAACTTGAAAATAAGTCACAGTTTCCTAGCAGTAAAGATCATTTAAGAATTCAAGACTTTACCAGTGAGTGAACATGGACATCTCATGTCTTTGAATCACTGCAACAAATTTAGATATTTTTCCGGTAGATATATGTTTAAGTTGCTTCCTGGAAAAGTTTTATGTTCCATATATAAAGATAAGACAAAAGAACCCCACAGCTAGCTCTTCTGAACTCAGAGCTCTAAGTAGTAGAGAGAATTTTTAGAAAGTTTCCAAATAATGGGAAGCACAAATAATGACAATAAAAACTTTGTTGCAGAACTCACTTCCTTCACCAGACACCACTTACTTGAATCTTCCATTATTTACTTGCTACAAACACAAGTCTAAATAATAGCATGAGAAACTATACCTCAAGTAAATCAGTAAAACTTCAGTATGGTAATGAGGTATTCTGGTGTTGAGTACAAGCCAATCATCAATATCCTTCGTTATTGACCCTTTTTTGTATTGCTTTAGAGACACAGTCACTGAAAAATTTTGAATTGTGCACAAAAAAACCCTCTAAGACCTACTGGAAAGTGTTGATTTTTACAGTCTACCTCCTTACCTTTCTTGTGGAACTGCAAACCAGTATTCATGTTTTTTATCCCTCTGTGCATACTGTTGCATTGATGCACTTGCTTGCGAAACAAATGTTTTTCTCATGGGTTTTCCAACCCTGAGACGCAGAAACTTGTGAGATCGATGTCGTCTTTTTTCTTTCGTAAGAGAAGAACCTATTAGTAAAGAAAAAGTAAGCTATCCACAATGTACAAAAGAGCTTAACAAAATTATTAGCCAATTTTGTATTAGGCAATAGGAGATGAGGTAACATAGGTAGCAATAATTACCTTTCTTTTTTTGTTATGTAAATTGCATCAGCAGAATTAACTTCAGAGTACAACACATTTAAATAATTCTAACATTCATTTCTGCTTCCAATGCCAGATCACATTATGATAGTCTTTATCCATGCTTGAAAGTATTTCAGAAGGTATTCTCAATGCATATCCCTCAACACTGAATCAGACAACCCTCCCACTTTTCCATATACATGCAAAAGATACAGCATTAAATAAGTACTCAGGCTTGATTCACATATGTCAAAGCTATTCATTAGTTACTTCTCATCTAAAAAAGACAAGTTCTGACACTACTAATAGAGATTGAGATGAATTAATTTGTTAGCTATATCAAACACTTCAAAGCTATGAACACCACTTCAGGATGAAGTATACTGGATGTTGTGGTACAGGATTTTTCCCTCCAATAGTATATTTAATTGAACTAATAGAATTAAATGATTACCCTCAAGGTTTGGATTGAGAAGTCAGCACAAGGTAGAGGAAGAAGCCTTCTCAAAATTGTTTCTTTGCTAGATTAATGGCTCAAATCCTAGAACATGAGCTCCAGCCACAAGAGACTTCTTAAAGCAAGGAAGGAATATGTAAATTTAAGCGTTCTTATGACCAGCTATGACAAAGGATTTATCCTACCCCTGGTGTTACATGTACATACAGATATGTTCCAATTTTCTAGGACACTCATCTCTTCTTTACAGCTGAAGTTCTCCTTCAGTGTCTATGCAGACTACAGATACACTAAGCACAGAAAACATCACGTTCTTTATCTATAAAGATCTCTACTGTATGTTTTCTCAATCAAATTTCACCATAAAGTTTAGAACAGCATTGTTCCACAAAAGATTTTTTTCCCCAGTAAATATTTACATGCGTGCCTTCTAATTTTCAGTTACAACATTTCAGAATTATACTTGCAGTATACACTATGGTAGAATAGTCATAATATGCATGATTTGGAAGTATTTTATAAATCTGTAAGCTCGAAGGTAAACCGTCACATTAGAAAAACCCAAAACCAAGAAGTACCTAAAATAAACAAAAAAACTGTTTCACAGGACTGGCACATGAACTTTGTGGCAGTGTTAGAGAAGTACTCTTAAAATGATCTAATATTTGGGATTTTGGTCCTTCAGACGCAGCAGTTTAGAACTTCTCGGACCTAGAACTCAGAGAATTGGGATTTGTACCATACCTTAAAAAAGAAAAACGAGTGAGATTATAGTTCCAGCTACCAGAGAGAATGAAAACAAAAAGTTTAGCCCTGCCCCCAAACCTCAAAAGGACTATTTACAATGCTCTTTTTTGTGTGTTCTCCCAATATATTTTTGTGTATTTGACAAAGAATTCATCAGGAAAAAAGATTTCAGTAATGTCTATTGTGTGTCTCATGCTTTTTTTTCCTTTCAATCTCTGCCAATATTCAGCTAACTAAGCAGCAAACAGACATGTTATCTTCAATGAGATTTTAGCTTGTTTATACACACACAAAACTATAGACCATTACAATTTCTCCAACCACATCTAGCTTTTATTTCAGTCCAGTGGTTAACATAAGTGTCTGTAAAAATATAAGAGAATGAGAGTCCTTGGTAATAACAGAAAAATTCCAAGGGAGACCTTTTTAACTATTCTAGTCTACTCATAGTTTTCAACTCGCATTGCATCACCTGTTCAACATTCAGAATAGATCATTAAATTCCAAACTCAGAAACGTTTGACGTCTGCAAAGATCAAGAAATGGTAGTTCCCAAAAACCTAGATGCTCAGAACTCCCACAAAAGACAAGAAATTCAACTAAGTCCTTGCTATATGCAGGAGATAAAAAGACTATCTAGGTAACTTAATGATACAGAACTCATACTATTACTACTTCAGAGTTTTAGTCTTATAGACAGTATAGTATAAAGTGTTTACAGTGTTTCAATTTTTTAATGAACTAGTGTTTTTAGTGACCTACTGTTAATAGACCTGTCATATTTAGTCTGTGATGACCTTCAAGAGTTAAGCAATAGATCTATGCTTTTACCTTGGCTCTATTTAACTTGCCTGTAGACATAGCTAAATCTATCCAGATTGAGAAACATTAATTCATAATTTACTGTTTTATTTGCATTGTGCTAATACAACATTCAAGAATAAGAAACACACAATAATTCCAACCGAAGTTGGACTGAAGTAATTGATACAAGTCTCCAAAAAGTAAACCTGTGCTTTTTTTTTTTTAAATTTTTTTCCATTTTACCCCCACAACCTTCAGTGAGGCTGTAACACCATGTGCAGAAGGCTTCTAGCCAGCACTCCTCTGACAGTACGCAGACACTTTTCTGATTATGTATGTATATACTCTGTGACTGTACGGATCACATCATGCATTAAAAACCTGCAGAGTCACTCAAAGATACAATCTTTCAGAAAACCGACAAATCTAAAGCATCTAATACAACTGAATTACAAAAAATGTTCAACTGTAAGAAAAGCAACAACTGTGGCAAAGAACACTTGGTGCTCGCTTTTTTTTAAAAGTTACAACCAGTAACTACTGCTAGCTGACATTTTTAACAGAGGATTTCCTCTAGTATTTAAGGCATAAAAGCCAAATTTATTGCAGAATGACACAACTATTAATCTGCTTCAAATTTCAGAATTCAGTTACTTCCTTAACAGGAAGAAAACAAAACAAAACAACAAAAACCACAAAACCAAAACTATCATATCAGATTCTGAAGTGTAAGATGAATTTCTGTCAACCAAAGAATATACCTCTCTATTCAATATAATCTCAACTTTTAATAATTAACATAAACAATTTGACCTTCAGATGCACCTCACATATAATCTATTAGTTTGTGACAGGCATTATAGCTATGTTTTCTTTCTAGCCCCCAAAATATTGCACAATTAAAACAACTAGTTTATCTTCATCAGTAAGGTGGTAAGGCATCAGAAAGTGACCTTGAATGAATTTTTAAAAAATAAAAATCAAATACATACAGAAACATCTTTAAGTTACTTAAAAAAGACACAGTATTTTTTTTATATGAATTAGTAACTTCAACAGACTTTCAAGATAACTTCCAACTAATAATCCTAGTTCCTGATCTTTGCAGAGGAGTAAAGGTACTCAAGAAATAAACCTAGTTGTTCCCCATACTCATAGCATTAGTTTCTTATCATCTAGCTCCTATTTATCCTGAGAAATGTTTTTTGTATGCTTAACCTTGTTCTAGTCAGCATGAAAGCATAACAAGAGGCAAGTGAAACAAAGTTCTGAAAATATCAGTGTTAAGACTCCAGTGCTCACATCATAAACCTTAACCACAAAGTAGACATGCTATAAATAAGATGAAATTCATTCCCTGAAATTCATTCATACGCATGTACACTGGGATCAAAATTTAAGTGACAACTAGCTGATTGCTAAAGAACATTTTTAATTTTGAGCTCTACAGTGACTAATGCATCATGGATCTAATTTTACAGGCTCATTTAAATCTCCCCTACAAAGATACTGTGTTTTAATATGATCAGAAATGTAATTTCAATGAGGAAAAGTGACAGTAAGAAAGGTATCCACGTTTTCAATTTCCTGAGCAGTATTTTCCCCACTGGTTTATATAACGTATAACTTCAGTATATCTTCGAGCCAACGAGAAATATAAGCAATATGTGGGGAGATGTGTTCTTCAGAATGAAAAACAACGAAAATTCTGATGAGCTGGAGGGAAATACATTGTAAACCTGAAGGCTAACACTATATCTGACTCACCTTCTAATTGCCCATCTCCTGCAGTTTTCTGACTAATTTCTCTTTGTGAATCCTGTTGCATGTTTTCTCTTTGTTGTTTGGTTTGTTGCATAGTGTGGGTCTTCCAGAGTTTGCGGAGTTCTTCAACTTCTGTCTCGGAGTCTTGAGTTCGCTCTCTCGCTACTTTTCCTTTGCTAGTTGTCTCTTTCTTTTGAGAGTCTGCGGTATCTTCACAACGTGGACATTCCTCTCCTGTCTTACTCTCTCCTGGTTCTTTTCCTAGCGAGGAATCTTGATCGTTGCCCACTTCTGCCTCTTTGTCATGCTCTTCACTACCATGTGATCCTTGCAAACACTGCTGGAGGACATCTGCAGTATTTTCACTAGGTTCTTGTCCCCCCTTTACAGACATTTCAGCACTTTCTGAACTTAAGCTGTGGGTACCAAACTGTTTAACATTTTCAACCTTTTCTGCACTGCGTATTAAGTCACTGGCAGCTTCATTTGAGTCTGAAATGATTGTTAAACATTCAGCACTAGTCTGGTTTATTGTTTGGACAGATTCTGATGATGCTCCAGAAGATTTGTCTTGTCGAAGCTCATCTGAGGAAACAAGTTCCTCACGTATTGGAGAGAGTTCTGATTCCGTGAAGACATCTTCTGAAAGAGACTCTTCTGTGCTCCTTGGGGCAGTACTAGCACTGTCATTGCCTGTATCCCGAATCCTGGAATCCATTTCATCTGTATTGCTCTTTGCAGCTTTCTTGGAATGGCAAAGTTCCCTTACAGACAGCTGTTCTACATCTCTGTTGAACAAATAAGAATGTTGTTACAGCAGGTGCCTTTTACATCAAGCTCTTTTCTTTACTAAGTTTTGTTTAATGCTGAAACAATTTAAAGATGCTTTTAAAAAAACCAACCAAACAAAAAAACAAACTAAACCAAACTTAATCCAGAGCATCAGTAATAAGAAACAAGCATAAAATATGTTCTTGTAACGGTAAGCTTATGGCAGACCTTTTGCCAGCATGACATAGATAGGACTTCCCAACTTCATGACATTACTTTTGCAAGGAGAAGCTCTCCTATGAAACCAACAAGATTGTTTGAGATGCTTAAAGTGTAAAAATAAAATAAAAATCAGGGGAAAAACAACAAAAAGCTACACACAACCATGATCTGACAGTACAAATCTTCCACAATCTTTTAAGCTTTGTCTACCAAAGAGGCCAGAACAATTGTATAGATCTGTCCCACTCTATTATGAAGCTGACACCTAGCTCACTGGTAAGAAATGAATGGCAGAAATCATCTGGTCTAACCTTAACTATCTAAGCTAGTCAATGCAGAGCAACAGGAAGCATCAAGGTAGATCTTACCATTCTGCCCATGGGAAATACCTAACAGCGATTAGTGTCTTCACCAGGCAAGTACCTAACTTTGAGGATACCATTGTTAGGCAAAATAAATCCCAAACTACTTGGTACAACTGAACAATTTAAAGAGCAGATGTCACATGTTGATAAACAGTGTAAGAAAAAAAGCAAGCATGAAAGAACTTTTTTTTCCCCCAAAGGAAATAATCTTATTCAAACCTGCCTTTCAGAATAAGCTAACCAGAAATTCTCTGAGTTTTAGAAGAGAAGGACTACAAGGGGACTGTGAACATGCTCAACTATATCTACAGGACTCAAGCTTTTCCACTGTTGTCAAAAAAACTGAGCAGTACACAACCTTCATAAAATATTTCTCATGTTTAAACACACTTTTGACTAGAGTTCTCAATGTTTTGACTAGAGTTCTCAATGCCAACTCCTTTGCTACCAGAAGCACATTACATCTTCCATTACCTAGTATTAAATGCTTTTAAGAAGCTTGTACCTTAATCCCCCATCTTGAAGAAGAATAAATCCACTCCACATTTCTACAAAACTTTTTATTCAGTTAGGTCATATTACTGACATTACTGAGACACTGCTAAAATTCAGGATATTTGCAAAGCATATGCACCCTCTTACCCACGTGTTAACATGAAGCTGATATTAAGCTTGTGCTGATGTAGTAATTTTGCTTACAAAGCATGTGGATTAGAGTTTAGGATTTATCACCTATTAGACTGGGCCGTTTCCTTAATTTTTCAGGATTATGCTGGTAATAGGTGCTCTTGGACAAGCACAACCCAAGGTTCATGAAATCTGTAAAACATCTGTATGTTTTCAGATTTTTTTTT